TGCCGGTGATGCCCATGGTGCCAATAACCGTGGTGGTACTCTTCCTCCCGTTCGAGTTGTTTAATTTCGTGCAGGCGCTCTCCCGCCAAGCGTTCAGCCTCTTCCAGCTCTCCGAAATGGAGCCCTTGAAGGAACGCTTTGCGTGTTGCCTCTTCCCCGAACCTCATCCCCGTCAAGAAAATCCGCCTCTTCTCCGCGAGTGAAGAGGACGATGGCGCCTCCTTTGTCTCGGAACCGGGCAGGTGATGGGCCTCTGTGGCGGGTGCGCCGGCCTCAGCATGACCGCTGGGTTCGTCGGGAATGGGCTTCGCGGCAATACCAGCAGCAAGAGCGGCCAGAGCGACGACGGAAGTGATCTGCATAGTGTACTTTGGTGGGATTGAATGAAAATTTGGAACTGTAGTTGAATGTTGTGCGGGGGTGTAAAATAATGGTCGTGAGTTGTCGTGAGTTCCTGGCCAGCAGGTAGTCGTGAGAAGAGTGTGTGTGTTGTGGTAGGAATTCGTCGGGTGAGCCTGCACTTGGGAGTCGATGGGATATGCACGCTGACGTCCTTATATGTGATCCAACAGACTCACCCGGAGCCGGTCATGTTCCGTGCTTTGAATGAACTGCGTTGAGCACTGTACAAAGGCGCTAAGTGTTATTAATTAAGGGCGGTGAGTGTGCTTCAGGAAGTCACTCCAATACAGTCAAATCGAAATATTTGACATTGTGCTCGATCACTCCAATACAGTCAAATCAATATTTGACATTGTGCTCGATCACTCCAATACAGTCAAATCGAAATATTTGACATTGTGTTCGGCCTCACTCCGCCCCCAATAAAAATGCACGTAAGCTGTAGATGTGTATTTGACATGCGTAGCTTCAAGAAAGGTACCTTGCGACGCGATTTCGTTCTTTCCTATAATGGCTTTGGAGCCGCAGGCAGGCGATGTGCTGATCGGCAAACCCAACGGAATGAAGGTAAGCCCGATGCGCTGTGTCATTTGAGTCGGTTCACCATAGTCTTGTTTCAGCTATAGGGCTTCACATGCGTACCAGTTTGCAAGCATCAATATGGCGCAGGTCGGGCCAACGTGCTGGGTTTCGGGGGTGTGCTTGAGGTAATTTGCCTATTTGAAATTGACCTTTGCCGCATAAAGATGATTGATAATTTCGCAGCCGACCCGTCCTATCCGAGAGCACAAAGTCTTGCCTCTCGTGAAGGACAGGCCTCCTCCGTCGTTTATCCACTGAAACTTCGGAAAGCACGGGTGCTTACATTCGTTGCTGAGACAGGACCTGGCGATTATTGGCAGACCGACGCAATAGCCAGGAAGAAAGTAGACAGTCCGCGTCGTCGCATCATTTGATGCCTGGTGCACACGCAAGTTGCGATCGGGAGACAGGAAACGGTGGATGATCATTCAGCTGTCCAGGATTGAGAGCAGGGATAGGTGACGAATACATGGATGGGTATAGCGTGCAAGTCGGGGAAAGTCAGGTGTAAGAAAACCGTGGAGAATAGTAGGGGATGGAGAGGGGGTTAAAGATGGGAGAAGGGAAGAGTGAAAGTGGGAAATGGTCAAAGGAGAGCGAACTCTTCGTCGTCGCCCGGCTCCTCCCGACCCTCTTCCTCGGTTCCCTCAGGCCCAGGACCTCCCGCCCTCTCAGTGGGTAAGGATACGCCAGCATCAGGCGACGGAGACCTTACGATCATCCATTCTCCTTCCCCGTCACGCTCTTCCTCGTCTGCCCTGGGGAGGGCGGGGGCCTGCGAAAACCCGACGAGCCTTCGGCTGGAGGTTCCGAGGTCTCTGCCGCCAGCTGAAGGCCTTCGCCATTCGTCCCTGTCCCCGAAACGGAAGCGGTGTACGGAGAGCCAACCCCAACCCCTGCTGTGCCAACACGGACACGCGCGCTCTGCATCTCCTCCCAAAACCCGTTCGCCTCGTTCATCCTGCTCACTTCCTCGTTCTTCGTATCCAACCAGCGCTGGAGAAGGCTAGCGTTGTCCTTCTTCAAGCTGTCGTTCCTTGCTGCGGTCTGCGTGAGCTCAAGGGACAGGGCATTGTTGTCGTCGGAAAGTTCTTGGATAAACCGGTCTTTCTCCCTTATGGTCAGGCGGGACGCTTCAAGTTCACGTTGCGCGCAGGACAGCTCGTCACGTACACGGCGGAGTTCTTCCTGCGTTAAGCGCGCGGAATCCTCCGCTTGTCGCTGGGTGTCGGACATCTCGAGCAGGCGCTGTGCGTGCTGCGACTGCTTCTTGTGCAAATCGAGCGTCTCGTCGCGCATCCTTGATATCTGCTCTTCGAGCGATGTGATGAGTGCTGTGCGGACGGCATTCCTAAACTAGAGTTAGAATCAATGTCTACGCAGAGAGAGGAGAGACGTACTCGTCACCTGCAGACCCGCTCGCGCGCGCGGTGTTCATCGCCCTTAACAGCGTCTGGTTTCTCTCCCTCAACACACGCGCCTGCACAGCGAGTTGCCGATCTATCCAAACACAATGCGTACCATATCAGCTTTGCATGCCTCCAATATTCCGAAAGAGGTGAGACGCACACTGATCGATAATGCCCGCATAAGCACAATCCCTAACGTTTCTTGCGCGGAGACGCTCGAGGATCTGGTCCTGCCACAAGGTGCTGCTTCCTGAAGTACTTGTAGAGGCGGGGGTGCCTGGAATAGGTAATGATGTCGAACTTGTTATAGCTGGCGTTGGGGAGAGGGGAGGTGGGAGAGAGAGTGGTGAGGACATTGTGACGATGTTGTGGTCGCTCAGAGGCGGCGAAAGCGGAGATTAGAAGCAGTCAGAATTGATTCTAATGTCTCTCAGAATTCCCTTGAAAGGACTTTGCTCAGTTATGTAGACAGTTCTGCCCTGTTCAAAGGGCAGAGAAGAAGAGAAAGTTGAGAGCAGGAGTACCGTGTTCCCTTGAGAGGCAGAGTCTAATCAAGCGCACAGTGAGCATGAGGCTGCCTCCATCTATGTGGCTGTGTTAACGGGATTAAACTCATCATTCTTTGTTCTCTCCACAGTGGCGGAGCAGCGGACATTATTGGCCGGGATCGCACTGACGGTATTCTCCTCCTCGACCTCCTCGACCTCCCCCTTCATTACTACTGCTTTAACAGCACATACACCGCTTATAACTACCTGGGTTATTTCTATTGGTCATTGTTACGACTGTTCAAGAAAGGAGAATACACCGCCTCCCTCTACCTTTCCAACTCATCTCAACTCCTATTCCATCTCTTATCCTACCACCACTTTCCCCCCCCAAACACACACAACGAGCCATGGGCCGCGTACTGCTTAAAGTAATTATACTCGGTGACTCAGGGTACGTCCATACCCTCCTTGATCCTCCACGTCTACCGTGCGCTGCCTTCCCACATGTTCTGACTACTCCACAGCGTAGGCAAGACCTCCTTGATGAACCAATATGTCAACAAGCGCTTCTCGAACCAGTATAAGGCTACTATCGGCGCAGACTTCTTGACTAAGGAGGTCATGGTAGATGACAGGCTTGTCACCATGCAGGTGCGTTTGCCTCTTCAGCTGTCATAGAGAAGTATGCTGATCGGGTGCTGTGATGCATCGCCCTTCATATGTGAACTCTTCCTCAACGTTTCATTGCTATCATTCGCGTATAATTGCACCTTTTGCTGCTTACCGGATCGTTTTCCTTGTCGTTAGCTCTGGGACACCGCAGGCCAAGAGCGCTTCCAATCCTTGGGCGTCGCCTTCTACCGCGGTGCCGACTGCTGCGTGCTCGTATACGATGTCAACAGCGCCAAGTCGTTCGAGACGTTGGACAGCTGGCGGGACGAGTTCCTTATCCAAGCGAGCCCGCATGACCCGGAGAACTTCCCTTTTGTCGTGTTGGGGAACAAGGTTGATGTGGAGGAAAGCAAACGACAGGTGCGTGCCTGTCTTTCTTCGCCGCGCTGTGCCTATCCATCTGCTCGATGATGAAGTGCAGCCGCAGCGTGCGTAGAGCCACAGAGTGCTGATTTCCCCTCAGGTATCGCAGAAACGCGCCATGACCTGGTGTCAATCGAAAGGGAACATCCCCTACTTTGAGACCTCTGCCAAAGAAGCTATCAACGTCGAGCAAGCTTTCCAGACCATCGCCAAGAATGCGCTGCAACAAGAAGCCGAAGTGGAGCTGTATAATGACTACCCGGATCCGATCAGGATCGATAGCGATACCGCGCAGACACCGTGTGGGTGCTGAGCGTCGACTGCGTTGTGTTCCACTTTGTGGACGTGGTGGATAGAGTGGTGATGTTTCTTCTCGCTGTTTTCTACTTCATGATGTGCACGACACCCTGCTGGTGGCGTGTGTGCAAGCGTCGTTCTCCGGTCCACATATCTATCCTCCTTCCCTTTTACGTTTATGAACCACATCCTTCCTCTCAGACTCGGATTTTTAACGCCCTTTCCGCGTCCCTCCCCCATTCCTACCTGCCGGGCAGATGTGCACCCACAAGACCCCCTAGTCTTGCACCTGCAGCTGAGGGACAAGCGGCTAATGACACCCCACCCTTCCCTTCCCTTCCTCCACCTGTTCCTTCTTTCCCTCTTCTCTAACATCACTGTGGGTAGCATACAATGTTCTCTTGAGGAATAGGATGCGTGCAATCTGATGGCTACTCGACGTGTCACACTATATATTTCTGATCCCAAAGAACAGCGGACTGTAGGAATGTCAGAGGGGAACGTGGTTGAGTGGATTTGATAAGTATAGCTGAAGTGATCGGAAGAACGCGATGCGGCAAAGTAAAACGTACCCACCTTCTCATATTAGAGGCGCTAGAACGTGCTATCTGACTTCAGACTGTCCGAATCGTCGTGAGGGCGTGAGGATGGGTGTGCGAAGTGATTCACTCTAGTCCAACCCTCGCCGACCTTTCCGTGCTCTGGGAATTTGAAGCGAAAAGTAGCAAAATCACTCACATGTGCCTCCGATAGCGAACAGAATAGCTTCCTCGTGGTTTCAATATAGATTGCAGACGCTGATGCGCAAACAGAAGCAAATGCACAATGAATAAGCATTTCTGATCATTAACGGCATCGTTGACGAAGGTTAGAGGCGCTGACGGCCGACGGATTCCAAATCCGTCTATGTTCAAGCTTCCATTCCGAGGCAAAAGAGCACCATGAAACGTTTGTTAGGTTAGCTTGTTGTTGGAAAACAGTTACAGCGGTTGACGACGGGATGGATGGAGATCGATTGGCCTGGTCCGGCGCGTCATTGGGTCCGGCAGTACTGTTCGGTTTGTCTTGTACAACTAGCGTTCGGAAGATTGTAACGTCCTACTTCAAGGCTTTGACGTCCGAGAGGAGAATAACGTGAAAGCAGTTCTTCAATAACACGAATGATCGACAGATGCCCAAGCCAAGTATAAGCGCCGACACCGCCAGGCCCCACACCACTTGCTGCGCGGCGCAAACAACGTATTGCTCATCTCATATCCACTGGTTGATGTGATGGTTGGCGAGCCTCTAACGTCGGCATGAGTCGGCAGCGAAAAAGATTCGAGCTTCACTGCAAGCGATGAGAGAGGTGTGACCAAGCGCAGTGAAATGATCGGCGAGGTCCGGTTCTTCACATCGTCACTTAGCAAATAAGTACTAGTACCCCTGATCGACATTTGAAACATACATTAATATTAAAATTACTGTTCGAACATGAAACGCAATCAAGTTGCGAACACTCGGAGCCAAAAATCGAACACTGCACTTTCAAATTTCTCCGACGTTGACTTTCTGATGTTCCGGCGGCACTCTGTGTGACTCGGCACTGCACATCGCATTAAGTAAGATCGATAAGATGAAACGCTTCGAATGTTAGACTAGTCATGCGCGGTGCATGCCGAGTTTCCATGGGATCACAAACTGTAGTACAGCTTTGACGACCAAACATTGAGGCAACCACTATGCAAACTACAAACCTTTGCCTGGCGTGGAGTCATTCACAAGCAAATGAGATCTTGAACTGGCTTTACTGCATCGCTCGGGGGAGGAGGACTGGAATGCTTATAAACCGACCGAAATGTTCCTCCAACTCTTCACCCCAACAATCACTCGACTCAGGTGCAGGTTCACCTAGTCGCATTCTCACTTCCTTCCACCTATCTCTTCTTCTCATTTCACGCCCACCTGCCGGTCAGGAACTCACGACAACTCACGATCCCTACCTCACTTCAATAACACTTTACAATCACTATCAACCTACAAAGCAAGTCAATCTTCCTCAAGATGCAGATCACCTCGGTCGTCATCCTCGCTGCCCTCGCTGCCAGCATTGCTGCCAACCCTCTTCCTGAGCCCCAGGGCGGTCTCAGCGGGGCCCCGATCCGGCGCATCGAGCGCAAAGCAGAGCGAAGGGGAGGAGCTCTGGGCGAGCGCAAGGAAGAGAATTTCCTACGTGCCAACCGTCCTCGTGACCTCGAGCTCATGAAATCCAACCTTGAGATACGTTCTCCCACTCTCGAGTTCGACCTGGAAGCTCGCCAAGAAGTTGAAGAGCCCGCATCTGCAGCTGCGACACCTGCAACCCCCCACGCGCAGAAGGGTGCTGGTAAGCACGCCGGCAGGAAAGCTAGGGGCGGCAAGCGCGGCCGGCGTACCAGGGGCGGCAAGCGCGGCCGGCGTACCAGGAGCGGCCGCGGTGCCCATGGTCGTGGTGGTAGTAGGCGTGGCGGCCGCAAGAGTCACAAGAAGGTTGTCGAGGAAGCGACCTCTCCTGCTCCTGGCGCAGAGGCAACATCACCTGTCCCGGACGCAGCCCCTGTTACTCCAGGTTCCGCACCTGCAGCCCGCAGTTTCGATGATGACTTCGAGCTGGAGGTCCGCTCTCCCCAAGGCCGCCGGGGCGGTGGGGGAAGGGGTGGCAGGGGCAGCATGGGCAGGGGCGGCAAGGGCAGGGGCAGGGGCGGCAAGGGGCGTGGTTCCCGCAAGATGCAACCGCAACAGCAGTCCGAGAGTGAGGAAGCCCCGCCTTCCGCCCGCGACTTCAGCCTGGAGGAGCTTGACTGAGCGCCTTCCCTTCGAGGTTTTCTTTCGCATCATTGTACCCTAGTTGATCGCTATCTGTGTTGTTTGTAGAGCTGTCTATCAAGCACAAGTTATGGCCGCGATATGAAGTGCGGAAATGAGATTCTGTTACGGGTCAATTGAGGTCATGTAAGCGCGAAGATTGATTTGAAAGGATTGCATGTGCAAAATCTAAGTATCCACCTGTTGAGCATGTTAGAGGGAGCTCGGAGGAACATACGACAACGACGAGACCAGGAGACGGTAACTAAATAACATTGTAACAGATTAATGAGGAGACGGACAGGATTTCGGCCGAGTTTCAGTAATAGGATGCCTCCTTGCAACGCGGTTCGTTACAGGATGTGTTTCGGAGGGTGGAGCTTGCTGTGCGTATCACATCCAAAATTTCATTTTGGTCTGACAGCTTAGTGCATCAATACCGGTCAAGCGGTATCAAACTCATGTCCATATTGGAACGCCATTTGCCGAAGCACTGCCATCCCTGGTCAATTTGATTGATCGGAGACGGTATGAATTCGAAAACGGACTAGCATTCGCACCCATTGAAAGGGCTATGTTTATGCTTACTAGTCTATACTAGTCCTCAGCAGAGGATGAAACAATTGTGAGCTTTCATTCATTCGGTTATATTGCTCGGCACCCTCTATTCAAGAACGGCATCCACCAGAGGACAGCACAGTATGCAAAGCCCATTGATGCCATCCTATATAAGAGTGTCAGTTTGTGGCCATGTATCCCCTCACCCATCCACACTAAGGTGCAGGCTCACCCGACGAATTCCTACCACAACACACACACTCTTCTCACGACTACCTGCTGGCCAGGAACTCACGACAACTCACGACCATTATTTTACACCCCCGCACAACATTCAACTACAGTTCCAAATTTTCATTCAATCCCACCAAAGTACACTATGCAGATCACTTCCGTCGTCGCTCTGGCCGCCCTTGCTGCTGGTATTGCCGCGAAGCCCATTCCCGACGAACCCCAGCGGTCATGCTGAGGCCGGCGCAAACGCCACA